CCAGAACGCGCCTCTGGTTTATAGCGAGTGACCCAAAACATAGTGAGGTAGACTCTGCCTGTCTCAGCACACCTCTTTTGTACTGTGGCGGTGTAGTTAGCCGAGCTTTGTGGTAATCACAACCCAATTTCATTATGTTGGACCCTATTTGTAATGTCATCAATTAAATGCCCAAAATAAAGGCTTTCCAAGAGCAGGAGATTTCGAAATAATAATTCAGACTTCCTGACTTTTAATATCTCCAATTTAAATAGCTATGATAACCTCAGACAACTCATCCATTAGGAATGATTTCTCTTAAACTGGAAAGGCCTACCACAAACTAATAGACAGTCTGAGAGCCATGAATGACTGGCTATTTGACAAATAAGGCATTCCATAACAAAGGGCCACATTTACCATGGAAACTCGGACTTTTCTTAGCTCATTCTGCCTTTGTTCCAACTAACGTAGGGTAGACAATCAAGAATCAGTACACTGTGTCTTTATCAACTATAGATCATGTCCTATCACAGCACTCCATATGCATTATCGAATCATTTTCAACACAACCAATGGGCAAATGCCAATAATGAATTTGACAAGGATATTCACCACTTTCATTTTGCCAAAACAATGTCTGCTTTTAGTAAATACAAAAATGCATCTGACATATGCATCTGACAAAAGGGAAAGCTCAACTTATCACTTGAAACACATGACTATGCCCAGTGTTTTCAAGGACATTTGATCAGAATGGTTTGCTTTCTATAACATTCAGTATTCTTGGACAGTGCACTGGACCCAATACTCAACTGTCTTCCCTAGCAATGCCTACCTGACTTGAATCTGCTTAAGCTTCAAACTAAAATGAAGAAGTCCTGCAAATAAACTTTTATAAGATTTTGCAACTTCTTCTGTACAAATAATTTAGAAACAAACATTAATGACCAGATTGCTAATTTCAATTTGCAATAGCTGTAACTATTACCAAATTAAACCTCACAATTTCAAAAACTTTTTACATCATAAGCAGATGATGAGCTTTTTATTTCCTCTTATTTGTGACACACCATATAAGTCAGATGAGTTTCATTGGCTCTTACTCTTCCTTTTTTCCTAAAATAGAAAAAATAAGTAGAAATAAAAATATAAATAAATAAAAATAAGTCAAGTAGTCATTCGCCTAAACCTTCAATCCCATGATAACCCCAAAACTTCAATCAGAAGCGAGATTCAATTTTACTTCACTGTGGGCTAAATGCATTCAAAACACAACAGATTATTCATTATTATGACATTTAAACACTATACAGTATATGAAACAAACAGGACTTGTAAAGAATGTTAATAGTTTGTATACCTGATAAAGTTGGGATATATTCATAGTATTGTAATATAAAGGAACAAAACTATCAGCAAAAAGTCCATTTCAACAACATAACAGAGAGAAGGTATTTCTACCATGTAATAAATTCCAGGTCCACTTCACACAACTATGAAGCACTCCTTTGAAACCCATTAAACGGTAAGGGTTCACAGGTCCACTAAAATAATGGCAATAATCAACATTGGATATAAAGCTTTAATCAACAAATTTGCACTTTTTGTTTGACAGAGTTTGGGCCAAATTCTCAGTCACCACTTGAGAAAGAGGTCTGTATGTTTGGCCAATCAGAGCACTAACTGACTTTTCCCTTGGCCAATCTCATTAATGAAATGAACCCTCATTAAGATTGTCCCTCAAATTGTGACTGAGAAACAGAGCCTTTGTCAACTTTTTATGCACTTGCCCTTGTATCTAATTTTTCATTTATTTTTTTCCACACTTGAAGTCACTTCTTTATTCACATCTTTTTCCTTAATACATTTTCTTTTCATTTGTTAACAGTTTTCAATTGAGGTTCTTATCTAATGTATTTCTTTTCTTTGGCCCCCTCTTTTCTCTAGGGCCCATCACTTCACTCACCGGACTTGCGTGCTGACGTGTGTCAAACACTTTTAATTTCTTGTTTTCCTATAGGGTAAGACTTGTGCTTTGGTCAAAATCAACTTTCCGTCCTTGATCTTTTACATTTTTTCATTTTGGTTATATTTTATTTTCTATCTTGTACAAACTTCACTGATCACTGGCCACCCCTTTCCATTTCTGCCACAACAATGCCTTCTTCTCCTGGGTGCCAAAAAAAGGTCTTTATGGAGTAAGGGCATAAGGTCCAAAGTTCTAGGAAAAGGGTCATATCTCTAAGGGTAGGGGCTGCAGTCCTTACACTGAGTTACCACACTTCTTTAAGATCATGCATCCAAATTTGGATTTATAAAACACTCATCAAGTTTCTCATCAAATAAAAAAAGTGCTGCTTATATTAAAATATGGGGTGTGAATTAGCCATAATCACAAAAAATATGTTCATTTCCATGCCAGAGAATTCCAGTGTTACATCAGAGAGATATATTCCATTACAATTTGTGCCGTCCCAAAAAATATCACTAATTATGGGAATTCTCTAATGCCATGCAAAAGGTTCACTTCACAGATAGGATTATGGAGTAAAAATAACCCGAAACTGCTTTGTCCAGTAAAACTTAACATAAAGCAAAAAGAAGCAATCATATGTTATACAGAACAAAATTTCCTTGGTTAAATATGTTCTACCCAGGTACACACAAACTGTCTAAACATTCATGGATTACACAGGATGGGAGACTAGTTGCTGCCAGTGCAAAGTTTACGGAAAATACTGCAATGGGGTCTGATTTCTTGGTCCATGAAAAGTTTCAAAAACAAAACTGATTTTCCCTGATATTCATGGAAAAAACTGTTCAGCAAAAAAATAATGCTCTCTAGTTGATAGTGGTACTCCTTTAAATATCATATCTTCACTGATATGAAGCCTTTGCAAATATGACGGACAACTGTGCTGATTACTTGTGGCTAATGTAATTTTTTTTTTTCTTTTTCAATAATGGCAGTTACAGATTGACATACTCAAGGGAGGCGGGAAAGCAGAAAGCAATACTGCACAACAAGCAGGATAAAAATATTTTCCATTTAAGAATTTCCCTTTTTTCCTTTTCAACTAAGTCAATATAAAAACAAAAATAACTTTTAAAGCAAAATATTCCATTGGTCTGATGAAGACAGATGAAAACCAAATACAAAAGGAAAATGCAAAGTTAATTTTAGATCATACATACAGAATAGTGATTTCTTATATGAAAAAAGGGTTGGATGGCAAACCTTCACACTATCAGCTCCTGCTAATATAGAAGAACAAAAATTTGACATTCTAATTCATGATACATAATTTAAAAGCTCATCAATTACAGTAATAAAAACATAACAATATGCAAATAGCATTCTTCTTCCTTTTTTATTTCATAAAGTTTTCATATCTAATTTTCAGATGGTTCCTTTCACTATTTCAGGATTTCTTATTAATAAAATATACTTCTCCTCTTTTGCATTCTTTTAGTGTATAATGCATACTGATTCAACTTCAGAAAATAAAAATGAATGCTACCTTGAATAGTAACTACAAAAGCAAGTATTTATATGCATAATGCAGATAACCATAAAGATAGGTCCTTTAATACATGATCACCAAATACTTTTTTCCAAATGTAAAATAAATAAATAAATAAAAACTCAGTGTCATACTCTATTACAGCCATTTTCCAAACCATAAACTGGGGGAGGGGGAGCTATACTCAAATCATGGTCCCAAATGCAAAATGATCTATGTGCTACCTGGCATATCAATAATATCTAATGTTACAGATCCTATAAAGAAAGGAGTTTCTATTACTGTTCACCAAGAAAAATTGGGAACTCATGACAAAATGTTGTTTCCACTTGTATTTTACTGTATTTTTCATTTTTAACAAAATCTTTTTTTTTTAACATATAGTAATTTTAAAATTCAAAATATTTGAAACTTGAGTTTCTATTCTGAGGTCATAAAAAAATCATTTTTTCTGGAAGTAAACACATTTTTGTAGACATAGCCAGAAAAAAAAATGATGATAAACTTTCCACTTGTCTTCCTTCCCCATAAAATCATCTAAACTGACTGATAAAAGACACTGGATGTCATTCTACCTTTGCCTGAGGAAGATTAAAAGCAATCTTCTTTTGAACTTGTACCAGAGGACGGCTATAGTCAAAAAATTGAGATACACCTTGTCTAGATCATGCTTCATCGGATATCATGGATATCAGCTTAGCTTTCAATCTAGCATTCCGTTTAGGTCCTACTCTACTGATATCATATATAATTTTGTATTTTTTTCTCTTTTTTTTTTCTTTTTTTTGCACACACAGACATGCAATACAATCTATAAATTCAAAATCCAGAAAAAAAATAAAAAGCCTTTAATATCATTCTTACCGGTGCATATAATGTTTGTACCTCCTATCTAAATTTCAGGTATATTTCAAAAAATGCAAAACTAGGGATCAATTTATCAGGGTTTTTTCAAATATTTTACTCGTATTTAGTTGGGATCGTGGAAAAATAGTGATGTCAACAAATATATCTCAGGTTACTTGTCTTTAGTATGGAGAAATTACTACATTTAAAAGGGTAAATCATTAGAAAAACATGGAAAGCTTTAAATGTATGAAGAAGTAACATCAACACATAGCAACTGGAGCAAGTTTGAATCAGCTTACCATCCATCCAATAATTTCAAAAGAGAAAAAAAAGAACAATAATAAAAAATAAAAAATAAATATTACTGTCACAATAGCCACAATATCGGTAATTTCAAGGAATTCAAAAACCAATCAACTACAATGACTACACATCCCACAAGTATTCTCTGTCCTGGCACCTCTCATCTACTTCAGAGAACATTGTCTTTAAACAATGTAAACTTGCAATGAGGTCAGAGAATTATGCATTAGAAGAGAAAGCTGGGTACATTTTATGGAATTAATTTGGGAGTAAATTTACAATTAAATTCATAAATAATGATTAGTTGAAAATAACGTGCTTTTTGTTTTGCCAAGCAGCATTTTCTGATCACTTAGTGTAAAATGTTTTTATATTATCTTGGTTTTATATGTAATGCAGTATTTTTTTTAAATCCTCAATAAATGTTTGTGATGAGACAGGAATTTCTATAAAGTTATTTGCATATGATATCAATTCATTTTGACCAATCATTAATAACATTCTTTCCAAGTATCATCCTAACCTTTCATCAGACTTCTAGCTGTAACCCTTCACACACTCTACTGTATAAAAATAGTAATCAACTTAGCAGTCTATACCATGGCCAAACAAAATATCGTAATGCTTTCATCCATTCCATTCTGGAAATATCAATCTGCAATTTATGTATTGTGTCAAATATAAAGTGCTGAGAGTTGTACCCTTTCTGCTCTGCTGCTTCTTTGCAACATGATTAAGCTGCATTGTTTACGTTGCTTCAAAAACAGTATTTTCCCTAACATATTTACACCATTTCAAGTATGTCCTTGGCAGCAGAACTTCAATCTCTTGATCCAGATAAGTATGTTCCTGACAGACATAAGTTTTTAGTTCATTATAAAATATCAGACAGCTTGGAAAAAAAAATATTGTACTCTAATTGGGTGCTGATTAAAAACACAGCCACTTGGCATTACCTTTAAAAGCCAAAATAATTCCGACTCAGATGGTGACCAGTGTGTCTTCAACATATATTAACCTTTAATTATCTTTACATATATTTAAATTAGGAATCAGGTACAAAATTGGGCAGATTTACACTCTCTTACTCTCACTCTCTTTCTTTCTACACTTGCACTTCATTAGTTCTATTAAGCTACAAAAGACAAAATCTCTAATGCAAAGGTTACACACAAATCCACATTCCCTCCACATTTGATTTAACAAGAGCATTACTTTTATGTTTATGTGGCTGATGTTATAGCAGGATACCTATTCTCTGGCTTCAACTTCCACATTGTAACAAAACTAATCAGTATCAAAGATGTACATCCATGAATCAATCCCTGACATATATATATACATGTATGTAAAAAAAGAAAAAAAAAGTTTTATAAAAAAAATCAATATATCTCAATCCACATTTTCCACTATATAACAGAAAACCCTAAAATAATATCCATAGTAACACTTCCCATCCCATTCTAGTATTAAGTTGCAAGTAATAACATTTTTTTTTATTCAACACTAACTCATCTCGGAACACAAACAACACCCTTTCAAAAAACTGCGAGCAATAAGGATTCACATCCTTGCCTTTGTGGTAAAATCTTTTGTTCCCAAAACAGAACACAAACAAATTTCATTTCCCAAACATGCCACTGGGAACATCGAGGTTGTCACATAGCAGCAGAAAACTAGCAGAACGACAGTGACAGCTCACCGCCGTTCCTCCACTGCGTCACCGCTCGGGTCTTCATCTGTAAATGTGAAAGGAGTGTTACTTTCTGGTTTGTCTTCATTTTAGGAGGGGATAAAAATAATGCTTTCAATATTTATTATTTTCTGTGGAACATTCTCCAAATATTAGGGGGTCTAATTTATCCAAATTGTATAAATTTTAATGGGTACCAATTTATCTTCACTGTCCACTCCCATTAAATCTTTTATGAAGGAAAAATAAGAGTTTATCCATAATTTTACCATTACTAATTCTTTGTTTCAAAAATTAAATTTCCCATAAGATTTTCTGCTACGAAAACTAAACCATTTTAAATAAATTGTCTTAATACACCATTCTCTATCAAATTTTACTTACAGTGGGGGTCTAATAATGCACTAAAACACATAGAACTGAAAATTTGTTTTACTGTAGATTTTTTCAAACATTTCCAGTAACATTTGCCACTGTAGAAAGCAAAATCTACCGAATCATATACTTTGTATCAGTGTTACTTCTAAATACCTTTCATCTTTGGATAAAAACAAGAAAAAAAAGTCACCACAGCTATCAAGCTGACGGGTGCTAAACAAGCCAGTGCTGCTAAACAAATGAAGTAATAATCGAGCTAAGTATCAACATTTCCACAAAGTGTAATAAAAACACATCAGCCGTCCTACAAATCAACTCCATTACACAACCTCACTAGAGCATTCTCATTATTTTGTTTTATTAACACATTATTTGTTTTTGGATATGTTAAGTCAATAACATTATAAAGCTTAGCCTTGAAAAGGAAAATAATGTAAAAAAGATTAAAGTATTAGCAAAACATCCTTGAATAATTTCTAATTCAACTGATACATTACCCGAACATAAAACAAACTGCAAGACATCCATTTGTTTCTAAGCCTATTTATGGCAGATATGTTTCAAAACAGCTGCTATGAATACAAGAAAGTATTCATATTTACATTATCTTCCCCTTCATAACTCACTTCTTACATTCACTAATACCATTTACATCCTTCATAAATGTATGACAATCAAATATTCTTTACAGGTATGCCCCAACCAGCATTTATCTCTTTGACTATTTTCTTCCATTTCCCAACTTTTTACCTAAATTCATATGCTGTTGCTTCTTCCCTTTCTGTTACCATATTAACCCAATGCAGCACCTGCTAATTCCCACTTTAATGACCAAACACAAACTTCGTCTACATTACCTGTTGCATTTTCTCAAAGTCTAAACATGGGCGGTGCATCTGGTGAGGGCGAGGAGTGTGTCTGTGTCTCTTGCGTGGGGATGCCGCCCGTGCTCCTCCTTCTGCCCTTGGAGTCCCACCCTCACTGCCACCGACGCCACCACCAGGGGAGCCCCTACCGTCGCCTCCTCCACTTGCTGACACTAAACCTTCCCGTCCACTACTTGCTAGACCAAGCATTTTTGTTGGTGGAGAGACGGAGCGTAGGGGTTTATGAGCCTCGAGGGGCGGGGAGGTTCTAAATTGGACGGGTGGGCGTGACCCAGTGGTCAACACACAAACTTCCTCGTCACTGCTTCCTGTAAGCCAACCAAAAAAAGCCAAAATGAATATTGTACTGTTTGTTATCTACTATATATTGCATGATAAATAACTATACCCTAACCATAGTAAAATTACATATTTCTTAAAATGTTAATTCTACTTCCTGGAGATGTGTTTATCATGCCACTTTATTCATAGCAAGCCAGAATAAAATATATAATATGTGTGCATGTGTATCTTTAAGGACGTACACGAGGCACCATTGCAGATTATGTTTTAAACTGGCCACTGCTACATATATACAAGCTACAGAAAAAAATATATTAATCCTTAAATTGAAGTGTAATCATAATATGTGTTCAGAAAGAATATTAACACTCTTGTGTTTCTGTTGCCAAAACTAGTATTTCCATAATGTATTTCTACAGAGAAATGCCATTTACAGTGAACTCTGACTGACATCAGTCGAATGTGTTAAGCAAGTCTTATGAAATAAAAGAATGGTGCTTAATATTTTGATTTGTACAGTTTTTATCAAATCATCAAAAGTGGTACTTTGCCAAACACACCTATTGTGAGAAGTTATCAATAACTAACAGAATTACAAAATAAGACTTATGTAATGACATGTATTTCCAGGCTATAATCATCCTCCTTCCTATTACTGCAGCACCAGTATTTGCGTAGGCAGTTGAAATTAATGTCTAAAATCAAAATGCCTGTAACCTTGCTTTTCCTAAATATAGCTACCATATATCATATAAGCAATGAATGTGACTTTTATCATTCCTTTTTATATATAATTATAAAATTATATTCATGTATCACACGTGTTATATATCATACCCAGTTGTGAAAAACTAAATGAACACTGCGGACTGACTGCCATTTGAGACATTGCAGTATGCAGTTTGAGAACAAAAGACTAAAATTCTGTGTCAGATTGATAAGGAATTTTAATCCTTTGTTCTGAAACACATCAACTATTCTGAAATTCATCAAATGTTAGCCAATAAACATCAGTGTATATATATCCATGGCATAATCACTATGTACTCCTAGGAAATAGTCAAGGGTTGGCCATATTGCATTGGCAACAAATACAATAAAAAATAGATATATAAATTAAGAAATAGATGAACATAAAAACAAAAATAAATTACAACAAACACTTTATCCAAATCCATACTAACATACAAAGGATCTTTGCTTTAATTTCATTAAAACTTAAAATCAACGTCAAGAAAACTGTCAACTATCTAAGAGGCAAGTTATCACCTTAACTTGGACAGATATAAAGAAGCTAACATGACAATGTGGCTAGATCACCTATGTGGTCTTAGATGACACTGACTCTCAGTTTACTTCCTGCTGACATACAGTTTACACAAACTGTATTACTCTCTCAACACAGACATGTGGCATCATTATCTCTGAATTACTAACACCTATATAGTATGATACTATACGGTAAAAAATATATTAGTAAAGATATCAATATATCTAATACAATATTACATAAATAGTTAAGGCTGCTCACTCATTACTGTACACCAATTCAATGAGTATACATGAAAGCTCGGCACAAGAAAATTGATGAGATAATCAAACATACAAGTCTAAGTTTATGATCCCATAAAAACCATAATCAGCATTTTCCATGAAAAGTACCTTGGTTTATGTGATTACTATGCCAGCATAATGAAAAGCTCAAGCTCCTTTTATACAGAAGCAGGCATATTATTGCCCAGAAGACAAACCCTTCTCCACACAAAAGAAGCTGTGGAGTTCATGTCACATCTTATAATAAGTCTGTTTTTCTGTATGGTAATACTAAAAATTGGGGAAATAAAAACCTAAAAGATAGTAAGTCATTAGCACTTAAAAATTAATGTGAAAAATGTACAGCATTTATCACATTCTGGTCAACATTGTGTTTGAGTGTTCTTTGGTTTCCTGCAAGAATAAGATATGAAATAAGAGACCAAACTTAGAGCAAAAGTTATTAATATCCAATAAATCTTTATAATAAAATGCTCAGCTTAGTGTCTCTGCAGGCAGTAATATCAACTAATACTTGCTATATATTGTTTGTGACATGAATTGCTTATAAACTTTGAACTTATATATCACTGACAGCAAATGGCCTGTGGTCTAATGCCATTTGTAGCTGATCCCTTATCCCACTGGATCCGGATGCTTCACTGCTATCACATGGCCTATAATCCGGGCATAAGTCTTAAGTGAGCAGACACTCTGCTGGGTTTACAGCATGTATGCTGGGCGCAAACAAACTCTCGGCCTCATGCCTCCTCTTTGCAATGTTATGTTCTCTTTTCCTGCATAAACATTTTTAGCTTTTATGCCACTTTCAAATACCTATATTTGTCATTTGATTTGTTTTATCCAGATGTTAATAGTCTGTTTTCCTTGCACACACTCCATATCATCTCTCTAAGTAGTCTATAACTCAGTGCAATAATAATAACAATAAGTAACATTTTGTTATTTTCATGTTTTCCCCCCCTCATAATATTCAATTTTCTGTAATACAAAGGTTCCTAAGCATAGAAATAGTGTTATCCCTGGAACAGCACCCTACCAGTCATGGCTCATGGCCATTATTACATTCCATACTCATTTATTGATAGAAAAAATACAAAAGCCCCTTCCTAAATGCCAAATGAGTCTACTCACTCTCCAAGAGCTTTGTACACTCATGGTAAGTCTTCCCTATCACCCTAGCACTCAGTGAAAATGCTCACAATGGCAAGTTTGCGTAACAGACTAATTTTCCCATGACGACATTCACATCACCCGCCCCTCAAGCCAAATCTATTCAGGACATGATGGTCACATCATCCGGATCATTGGGGTTAATAAGTATAGCTATTCTCTTGAGAATTCACCACCTCTATTTGTCTGTTATATCTACTACAAAACAAAGAAAAGAACATATTGAATAAAAAAATATTGTCTTTGACCAGCAGGCAAGGCATGGTTATCAGTTTTAATCATACAGAAGAACAGGCCTGATTATAAACTTGGACTAGGCCTACACTTTGTTACTAAATGCATAGCAACACACTAAATGACGGGTTTGGGGCAGTATTCATGAATGGCCTATGACTGTTCTCCCCAATTTTGTCTCTTATTTACACTATTGCCAAATCTTAAAGTTAATCCTGGAATAAACCAAACATGTAAATTGTTATAGACCATATTCTAATAATCTACTGTGATATGATAAGGTAAATATGACAAAACTCTTGCTTATAACATAAAGGTAATATTACAGATTTAGTATATCTGAATGTGATGTGAGATCTCTACATTTATCATCATTGCATCAGCTGTAAAGGTGGGCACTAATATTTGTGTTTTTTTAAATAAAATACAGCAATAAAAACATCGGAGACAGCTTAATCAACATTTGATAATTTATCAAAAGTGGCCTGAAAACTTTTCTTATTATTTCCTAAGTGGAATAATCTTCAACAGAGGAAAAAGTGCATAAGGACAAATTGAAGACAGTCCTAATGAATAAGGACAAAATTAAAGACAGTCCTTACAGAAGTGAAAAGAAAATATCTGTAAAATATAAGAAAGGACTATATTAATGTTTGACAATAAATAAAAAAGGGCTTCTAATTTTTTTCTATCATACTTGATGTAGAATATCTTCATATTTGTGTAAATTTTCATAGTAGTTTTAAAAACAGTTGGGACACTTTTACACTTGTCCTACAGTTTTGGCCGAGTCACAGACAAAAGCTGTTTGTCATAGACATTTTCATGGGGAATCATAGACAAATTTGCTGTGTCAAAGATAGATGAAGATCATCAGTAATAATATATAGACTTTTGAGGCCCATTCTGATATACTGTCAACTGTAAGTTACAGCAATTTTCTATTCGAAAATACACATGGTACCACACAGCTTCACAGCTGATGCAATGACAACAAACCTATGGTGAAATTAAATAATTAAATATATAAATATGTGATACTATTATCATTATAAAAGTAAGATTAATTACAATATATAGTTTGAGCATATTACTGTAATCTTCATATAGTCTATAACGATGTAAATGTTTATTCTATTACCAGTATCAACTTTGAGATGTGGCACAATGCAAATCAGAGACATAATTGCAAAGAACAGTCATAGACCTTTCATGAATACCGCCTGTGGTTTCTTGATGAATTCAGCATTTGGTAATTCTAATTGGTTTCAGCAAAATCTTCATACCGCTTCTCATTTTTTCTATACATATGCATATTTTATCCATGAATGCATTTCCTTTTTAAAGGATACATTACACAAGGTAACACATTGGTAATGCCCTGGGGTTGGTCACAGGGAGCATGTTCCTCTCCCCTAACATTTTTAGCTTGTTTACTTAATATTTGATGTGAAACTGTTCAATAATCACTTATGAAAGTTATTGTTAAATACAAAGGTAAACACCAAGTTATCCAAGGTGTATCAGAGAAGCATTACAGAATCTTTCTTTTTGAAAGTTTTGGAATTTGCCTTAAAAACTTTGGGGTATAAAGTGAGGAAAACTGAAAAGAAAATAATTTCTGTACTTAAAATCCGCAACTATTGGGGACTTTTATCTCCTTCACATACCTGAGTCTGTAAGGGAGAGCCGGGCTACTTGAGACCACTTGCGCTTTTCCGGGGGCCCTGTTTCTCGGGACCACGAACATGTCAGTGTTTCCAGCTCTTCTTCTGACGAGTGATGTTCTACGGGATCACAGGCATCACAGTCACTTACAAACGCAGAGTCCAGGAAAGATTCAATAGGGGACTCTAAGGCAGGGGATTCTCTAGGTGGGTCTGGGGTTCGAAGAGATGGGTGGGGGTGACGGGGTGTCCGTGCCCTCCGACCAGGATGTGGGTGATGACTGTGGTGAAGGTGATGATGATGGTGGTGATGGAGATGTTGTGGGTGGTGATAGGAAGAGGGAACTGATGAGGAAGGGATGGTGGATGGTGGGGGCATATCAGGGGCATCTCCAGCCATTGGGAGGTCATCACAGGTGAGGGTGTCCGTGCTGGTCTGGCTGGTGGGGCGCGATCTCACACTACACCCACTGGACACCTCACTCGACATCTCGCTGCCTGAAATGTAAATAACTCTATGAGACCATGTAAAAAAGAAATCATGTTTAGGTACATCTTTTATTCAGTGTACACTTTAATAGTGAACCATGTAAAAATATGACACAGATGGTATATATCAATTCTGCTCTCAGCAGAATAACCATTCAGATAATCATCAATATCAAGAACTAGATATCAATTTTTAAACCATGGAGCAGATTAATTAATTACAAAGAAGCAAAGGGATTTATGTATTATCATGCAGAAATCATATACATGCAAAATAAAAAAACATACATAACAACTATTACATATAGGTAACCACATTCATTTATCGGTAGAATATAAACAATGTATGCATAATTAGCTTCTTTTGGGTGTAAGGTATCAAACAGGAGATGGCATGACTTTGAAGTTTAGTATTTCATTGATATAGTCTAGAATCTCTCACCACCTCTTTCCTGGATCTCAGTATAGTTTGTCAGATAAAACTAACACAAAATATCATCAATCATAGTTTGACTTGTGTTCCCCTCAAAATTCACTGTCTAACAAATTTGTGTTAAAATTCATGATAATTTGAAATAAGGAACTTATTTTATCAGCATTATTAGTGTCAAACCAGTTATTATTCCATCCCTCATTCTCTAAAATACTTTCAATATTGCCACTATCATATCAAATATCCACATGTCACTGTGTGTGTGTGTCGTGTGTGTGTGTGGTGTGTGTGTGTGTGTGTGTGTAGGTGTGGTGTGTGTGTGTGTGTGTGTGTGTGTGTGTGTGTGTGTATGTGTGTGTGGTTGTGTGTCATCCCTTATCTAATTATGGTATGTCGTGTGATGTTAAATACAAAATTCGTGGTGTCTGAATGGTATATTGTCAAGCAGGTGGTTTTCACTAGCTTTGCTTAATCATCTTGAAATTTAAATTGCTTATTATAAGCATACATAAAAACACATTATTTTTACTTGTTTGCAAATGACTGTAGGGACTTTTTTTTCAAAATATAATTTCAAATGAAACAATTGTATACATATATAAATACTATTATAAGTCTAAGGATGAAAACTTGAAAAATTGAGAGCTACTGCTTTTTATTTGTATTGTTTTAACAGAGATTCACACAAAGTCATTTGCAAAGAGCAATTTGGGAATTAGAAACACTTTTGGAGGAATTTAGGATAAAAAAAGTGAGAGTACATAAGGACAGGAAAATGTTAAGCCCTCATAACAAGCTTTAAGAGTGTGCTTCCAAGTTTTTACTTTTGTATTTTGTGTTGATAATTACGGTGGTTCAACTTCATATGGTACTCATGTTCTCACACAATAGCTTTCTGAAACCACAGCTTTAAGAGCAATTTGGAATCTACTCCTGGGAGCCAAATTTCAGAAATATGCCAGACAAGGACAGTACTTTACCTCTATAACACAATGTGTTATTTTCAACTTCAATATTTCTTTTCTTACATGTGTTCACCATAGACGGTATTTATATAATTTCTAATCTAAAGTCTATAATTTTTATTTTCTAAAAACTGTACTCTTCTTTTCCAATGCTGTTTAACTGCCATCAACATGAGGCCACCAAAGCCCAACTTTTAAGAACTTACTTATTTCAGGGAGCTAGTGATCATGCATCTCCTTTAAAACGTTATCAGCCAAGAAGAGTGTGACACAATCGGATATTTAGCCCCTGAGTTAAAGTAACAATAAAGCTCATCATCCAGTCTTGGGTAGGAGGATAATGGACCTTACTGAACATCTAACAAAGGTTCACAAACACCGATCACTTCACTGTGGAAGGAGTAGGTTCTGCTCATGACCAGTAATGTTGCAGAGGGGGTTCTTGGTGCGGGATCATGGTTGCGGGAAAGATGGTTGGCAGGATGTGTTTTCAGGGTTCACATTGAGCATGACATACCGGGCTCAGGGTCGTCGTAAGGCTGCTCGTCATCAGACTCGGTGCCAGAGTCGCGGTCCTCACTGCCAAC